CTTTGGAATATCAAATGAAACAACACATTTTAGTTGGAGTGTAATGATACTAATGGATAAATAATTCACTGGAAATGAAGGAGCATACAAAACATGGGACAATCATAGAATTGTTGCGATCTAAATGTTCTCTGAAATTTCTAGGTGAGTATAAGAAGAGAGGTCACAAGCGACACCTGTCACATGTTAAGATGCACCAGAATTTACTATTCATTCTGGTAACCTTGTGATGGATATAGAGGCATGAGTTTGTGTATCTTGACTACATTAGATTGAATGAGCATAACTAGCAGTGTTCTTCTTCACTGTTTGTAGGATGAATTAGCTACAAAGCCTTTTTCGTCCTTCAACACCTCCACGATCTTATAGGATGGGCTAGCTCTAAAACTATTCTCATTCTTCAAGTTCTAACTATCCAAAGCCGTGGAAAATTGGGATTCCAATTCACTAGGATTTAGATGTAGGGTTTATAACGAGAAGTCACTCGGATTCACAAAGGATTTGACCACGAATGTGCTTCCTAATCTATGGGTTCTCTTAGAAAATCAACAACATTAACCTAACGCTTTCTACAAACAGCCTAAGGTTGGCTAAGAAAGAAAATGCTAAGGGCTTTAGGGAATCTCACTGTCGCGGTGCTTGATCGATGTCTGACGTTCAATCTGGACGAAGCTCTCCTAGTGGTAGGAGAGATGACTAGGCTACTGCGAGGTTCTGAGCTCTAGCTAAGTTTCGGCGATGCTCCGGCGATCCTTCCCAAAGCTAGGATGAAGCTCTCCTTTAGCATAGGAGAAGAGACACCTTGTTACCTTGTTAACCAAGTTCCCCCTCAAGAAGATCCTCACTCAAAGGATGGATGCATCCTAAGTCACATCACCTGCCACTCTCTGCTTCCTCTTCGATATCTTCCGTAACTCGTGTTTCTCATCGATGAAGAACACCGGTCTTTCCCTCATTTTCTGTTACCATTAGATTTTTCTGGTAGCCCTCTCTTCCTCCTTTTGTGCCCCCACGATTACCACCACAACCTCTAAATTGTTTGTCAATGCGTCTCTCTCTTTGCTTGGTTTTGGACAAGCCTTCCTCGGGTGTCCACTTCTACACAACTATAACACCTGTGGGTTTCCCTTTTGCCACCTATCTTACCCGAGCTCGAGGTAGCCAAATCTGATCCTGTACTTGAAGTTTACTTGGCTCTGACTGTAGCCTCATGTAACTCTTTTGTATCATCGTGGTGATGGTCTCATCCAATGAAGGAATTGTTGTCTGTGCTAGGAGGATTTATCTCCTCTGATTAAATGTCGGGTTCAGATGAGCTAAAAATTGCATAATACTCATTTGTGCAAAGATTTCTCTCTTTTGGCACCCCATATCACCACAAGTTGACATTGGTGAGAAGTGATCAAAATCTACCTACTGCCCCTCCAGATATATGGAATACTCCTGAATCAATCTATCACCCTGAACTATTGTCTCTATCTAATGTTGAATTTGAAGCATCATCATGTTGTTCTCAACTCAAGCATAAATCTACTTCAGCTTCGCCCAATTTTCACTCACCTTTCAAATGTTTTCCAGTGATGAGGCAATCGATGGAGCCATCGAATTGAGTAGCCAGGAGTAAAACAAGGCATGCGTGGTTGTCTACTTATCCCACTTAGCATTGTCGCTCTTTGGCTCGACTTTCATCAGATATCTCCTTAGTCTCTTCCCTACTAGAGAAGACTCTTTTGACCTGACCAACTTAGATATGTGGCTAGTCCATCAAGTTTCAAATCCATAGAAGAGAAACGTTCACCTGTATAGAAGCAAGTTCTGAGGTAGCAGTTCCTATCGACACACTAGCTCTCTATATGAGCCCGACCAATGACCTTTAGAACGACAGGTTTTTTTTCTCTAGAAGCTCCAAACTCTTACCTTCTACTCTATCTAGTTTCTTGACATTATCAATTTAACTATTCCTTAGATTTCGTCGGTCTCTCACACATGTAGAACCAAAATTCTCTCATCCATTGCTCTGATTTCACACGTACTTTACCTCTACCCTGCATCGAGCTGTTCGAACCACTTTACGATGATCCAGCAGCTGAAGGCGTCGTCGGTTCAGTCCGGGCACGCCCGAGTGCGTCTTGGACTTCCTAGCTTGTTGCAATCGCAACCATATCGCGAGCGTTCATGCTGCTTTGTTGCCTTCCTAGCAAGTCGTGATCTGCTAGTTGCCTTCCCAGCAAGACGCTGTCCCTTCATCACCTTCTCAGTGAGCCGTGCTCATGTAGTTACCTTTCCAGAGAGCTGCTATCTGTTGGTTGCCTTTCCAAGAAGTCGCGATCCTTTCATTGCCTTCCCAGTGAGTCGTGATCTAGTTGTTGCCTTCTCAAAGAGCCGTGATCACATTGTTGCCTTCCCGACGACCTTAATCGCATCGTTACCTTCCCAGAGGCCACGCTCCCGTCATTGCCTTCCCAGTCATTGGAGTTTCGAGTCTTTGCACCGATCCACGCCGATCCGCTTTACGATAGCAACCGGTTGGTAAACCAGTTGGTAAAGTTAGGGCTCTAATACCATAAGGAAATGAGTATTTTGGTAAAAATTATTTTTTCTTCATTCATGAGTTGGGCTTCTATTGAGCCTTACAACCTTATTACAAATAACCCCTAGACTTCTTCTATATTTTCTTTTTACAATTAGAACCCTTAGCAAAAGATTTAAATCTCAACAATATCTAACAGATAACAGTTCTTATTTTTTTGTATTGTTGTTGACTCCGGTGGAATGGGGTGAAATATTGTGGTTCTTACAGCTTCGTCCTCTGAGAGTTGGAGTGTCCCCTGCCTCGTTGCATATAGAGTTTTGTAGGCTGATCAACGATAGCAGAATATGACGGTTGGTCTTTGGAGATGTTGATTTCTTCATTGCAGAGCAGGGAGTAGAGATCCTCAAGGCTAATTAGAGTTAGTTTGGTGCGGATGAATGTTTCAAAAACTTGATAGAATTGCAACAAGCCTTTGAAAATGTAGAGGATGATGTCTTTGGTATCAATAATTGATCGAGTTGCAAATATATTGTCAACAAGCATTTTAATGTGTGGGATATCGTGTCATTGAGTCACTTGATGGACACATTGTTGAGCTCATTATTGAGTTGAATCTTCATTGACCAGTTGGTAGCTTGCTGCCTCCTGGCTGAGGTGCTCCAGAATTTTTAGTTAGCGGGCCTCAAAATTTAGAGCGTATGGTAGGATGGTGGAGGAAACTTTGGAGAACAGTGCTTCAGCTAAGTTTCGATTTAGGAGCATCCACATAGTATGAGCTTGATTTGGGATGAGTATGCCAGAAGAATTTGTATTAGCCTTTTGGGTTTGATGTATGGAGCCATCAAAGAAACCTTCAAAACCATCAGCCTTAGCTATTCTGAGGATTTGAGAATGCCATAATAGGTAGTTCTTAGTTGTGAGAGAAGTGTTTGTCCCGGTTTTAATGTTAGACATGAGAAATTTAAGAGGGAGGGATTGGGGATTCTTCGATAATGAGAAAAGCAAGTCCCTTATTCATTGATGATGTATCAAAGTTTTCCATGCCAGACCCACTGATGTCTTTTCATGGAAGAGGAGGTAAGTCAACGGTTGGAGAAACAAAGTTGCTGCACAGAAGCTCGAATACCTCGAATTGGTTGAATGATAAGACAATAATCAGAAGATGCTGTGTATATATAAGGATAAAATGCTCTAGCAAAGAGAGTGATTTATGTATTATAGATTATCTGGTCTGAGATACAAGGTATTATATATGCTAGGTAGAAGACTCTGGAAGTAGTTGGCTATGTTTCTTATGGAGGGTTAGGATTTCAGTGATGACGAGGTAAGTGAACGGTTGGAGATGAGGAGGTAAGTGAAGGGTTGGAGAAACAAAGTTGTCGAGTAGAAGCTTTGAAACCATGAAATGGTTAAAAGATAAGACAATAATCAAAAGTTGCAGTGTATATAAAAGGGTAAAATGCTCGAGCAAAGAGAGTGATTCTTGTATTATACAGTATCTGGTCTGAGATACAAGGTATTATATAGGCTAGGTAGAAGACTCTGGAAGTAGTTGGCTATGTCTCTTATGGAGGGTTAGGATTTCAGGAAAGAGGATGTAAGTGAAGGGTTGGAGAAACAATGTTGTTAAGCAGAAGCTCTGATACCATGAAATGGTTGAAAGATAAGACAATAATCAAAAGTTGCTGTGTATATAAAAGGATAAAATGCTCGAGCAAAGAGAGTGATTCTTGTGCTATACAGTATCTAGTTTGAGATACGAGGTATTATATATGTTAGGTAGAAGACTCTGGAGTTAGTTGGCTATGTTTCATATGGAGGGTTAGCATTTCATTGATTTGATCCAATGGCTATTATTTTTGGACAAGCTGTAGTTTTTTTTTTTCCCATTTGTATAAGCAGGTATTCTGTCCCTACTAAAGAAAACCTTTAAAAATGTCATAGTTTTCCTTTTGAGTTGCTTAACATGCATTAAAATTGAATGTTAGATGAATTTTCTGCCCATCGTTTTGTAAGTTACACATCACTTCTGTATATTATGAACCGAATTCAATTGTATTATATCATACTAGGTATGTGCGACAAGAAATATGTTGCTTTTGAGTCATGATATATCTGTAGCAGCTTCTAATAAAATTCATTCATGTAATTTTATTAAATAAATTTAACATGTCATTTAACATTCAATTGGAATAAAGATAGGAGGCTAATGTTGACCGAAAGAATTGGGGGAAGGCTGATGTTGATCTTGATGATGTTAATATTCATCGTGCGCGCTATGCTAACATCCTTGTTTTTGGGAGCTGATATTTAGTTCTATTATTATTAGTTTATTTTCAGTACAATTGTTCTTTTTCTGCAACATGCTTTTTTCTTTTTCTTCGATCTTTTTATTTTAGTTTTCCATCGGAGCTTCTTCTCGGAACCAGCTATTTAAAAGTAGGATTTTGCTTGAAATGCGTTACAGGTCTTCGGAAGACGAAGAGCCATCTATCCGCTTCATTTACATCGGATGGAAGATATATAGTCTCTGTTGGCGAAGACTCTAACATCTACGTATGGAATTGTGATTTGTTGAGCAAACCATCTTCTAAAGAAGCAAAATCAATTCGCTCCTTTGAACTCTTCTTCTCGGAAGGGGTATCAGTTGCAGTTCCATGGCCTAAAATGGAGCACAGAGCAGGTCCATGCACCAATGCCCTTCACCTTCCCTCGCCGCCACTTAAAATTTTGGAGCCTTCAACCTGGCTATGGGATTCAGATTGTTTGTTTTTGGGGTCTTGGCTTTTCACTGATGGTGCATCACGGGTCGGGCCAGAGGAGAAACTTCCTACATCACCTCAGGCTTCATCGTTTTCAGATAATCCCAATATAGGCAAAATTAATAATGAAATGGTATGTCGTTATCCCCAGCTTACTTCTCTTGCAGCCATCTGGAGCTTAGTGATTGTTACAGCCACCTCTGATGGGCGCATCAGATCTTTCCATAATTATGGACTGCCTGTATTGTTGTAGAAGGTAAGAGGAAGCAATGCAGCAAGCAAGTCTTTTTGGCCATTGGTAAGTCGATATAAAAAGGTTTTGCTAGTTACGGGAATGTTTCCCAGCTGTGCAACATCATTCGCCGCAATGAAAGCCTTCTCTGCCATCAGAGCAGAATCACAACATCTTTGGTGCTGCACCGTTTTCTTTTGATGTTAAGATATTTTTCGGAAGATTAGATGATCGGAAGTTTGTTGATTGTAGATTAAGATACGCTCCATTGCTCTGTTTGGGTAACATGCGTGATTCATTTGGAACCAGTCCAATTAATATCGATGGTATATTTTGATTATAATGTTACCCACTCTTTTTCCCATCTCCACTTGTTTAGTTGTTTTTTTCATTTTTCGCTGTTATATGTGCAAAGATATGTGCATAACCTGATAGGAGAAGCTACGTTACTATTTACAGCTGCTTCTACTACAGAGAAGCTACGTTACTATTTATTATTATTATTATTATTATTATTATTATTATTATTTAAGAATGATGACCCCTCAACCTCGTCATCTTGGAGATATAGCTATATCCCTTAAGCCAATCGGTCCATATCTTTTTTTGGTGATGCCCCCTTTCATTTCATTATGCTATTTAAGTGCTTAAAGAACATATAATTATCTTTTAGAACAAATGCAAACTAAAAACAAAGGGAAATTGAACTTTATTTAAGTTTAACATAAGTTCGAACAAAGTTTAAACAAGGTTGAAATTATATTTAAGAAAAATTTGTACCCCATGCAAGGGTGTTTGCATTCTGCTCGAACAAGATTTGTACCTTTGTCCTAAGTTTGAAATGTTTTCAAACTGTGTTAGAAATTTTATTAATAGGATTTGAACAAATTTTGCTGAGATAAAATAGAGTAAATTCGAACTATTTAAAAGAAAGCGAAATATAAGTTAATACAAGTGTATTATATGTATGTATGTATCTCTCTCTCTCTCTCTCTCTCTCTCTCTCTCTCTCTCTCTCTCTCTCTCTCTCTCTCTCTCTCTCTCTCTCTCTCTCTCTCTCTCTCTCTCTCTCTCTCTATATATATATATATCAAGAAGCTAAAGTACATTAATGAGCTATTCTTTAACATAGATTTAATAGATTATAAACCAGAACTCCTAATACCTTACAATGACAAACATTTTACCATCGCTTAACAAAACAATGATATTAATTTAAATTTTCAGTTTATATCTAATTGTTTATAATATTATTCTAATAAAAAAAGCTATAGAAGTAGTGGAAAATTAGTCTAACACATAATTGATTCTTTTTATTGAATATCGGTTGCATCTACATTATACAACTTTTTGTTCCTACGATGCACTTCTGATTTTCTTTGGATAGCCACACATCACCAATATGAGTACACAACAACCTTATTTATTTCATCTGAATATAATCAATTTTCCTCATTTTCTACTTGCCTATAGATTTCCAACATAAATAGCTTATATTATTTTATGTGCTTAAACAAAATGAGCATATGCTATAATAACTGACATATCGGTTTCAAACTAGCATGTTTATACTAGAGGTCTATTATATCAAATTTTCTTATATGTACTTGTTTTCCCAATAAATTAAAGTCATTGTTATAATCATCGCAAAGAAAGTGCACTTCAAATTGACTAACTAGATATATCATTAAACTTTGAGCCTTGTTTATGAGCTATCCTAATGTATCCATAAATTTTTTGCCAAATTTATTTTTGAGTTCATTGCAATAGTTCATCTATCAAAAGGCCACCTCATTATTGTATGCCTAGAAAACTCTAAGAAAAAAGTTATGGGATAGAAGCATCCAATCTTCTTGATATTATTGAATTTATTAACTTGCTATCAAGTTATATATTTTTTTTGGGGAAGATGGTATGAGCCCATCGCTTAAAGGCAACTTCATGCATTGAAAAATTAGCTCTAGTTGAGATTTTGAAACATACTTTTCAAAATTATGATTTCTAGCCTTACATGAGATTTCAATGCAAAGTGATATTCCACATGATCACTATCAATTTTAAACTTTATTATTACATTTGTGATATGATAAGTGAAAGATATTTTAAGGTCTTTTAAAAAAAGCTTATTAAAGTATTTGTAATATTGTTATATTTATTACAATGGATCATTAAGAATTCTACTATACTTATTAACTCTTTTAGTCAGGTCAGGGAATATCCATGAGTCATTTTTTAGTCCATTACTACAAATGCTGCTAAATAATTCTAAAAATAGATATCTTGAACTATTATCACAATTGCCACTATAAGATTGTTGACCTCACTTTTTAGTAACTTTTTCTTGACCAAAACATTCACTTGTCCTCCCATGTGAAGAAATTTCATGAAAGCAAGGTTACTGATCTCGAAACAAGCACAAAAGCTTCAAAAATCTAACCTAGATCGGCGTAACCATGCCTCTTTATAGCGTGTTTATACCAATGGTGTCATTGTCATGCCGCCATAAGGTGTAACTACATAGCTTTATTCAAGAGATAGGCACAATTACATCTAGAAGCGGTGTGACTACGTTGTTGTTACTCTAGCTCCTCCCTATGGTGTGGCTACGATGTTGTTGGCACACCTCCATAAAGAAAAAAATCAACCACTTCCTTTTTCACCTGCGCTTGCTCTACTACATTTGCATTCTCGTTTGGACTGCTTCCTACCACTATAAGTTCTCCTTCTTCTTCTCTATCCACTTCTCCTCTTCATTGTATGTTCTTTCTCTTCTTCTACTTTATTTCTACTTAATTCCTTCTACTTCTTCTTTTCCTCTTCTACTTCTTCCACTTATTATTACCCTGTTTCAGTGTTATAGAAAATCACTGGCTAATCTTAGGTTTAGTCCCTAAATCCGTGGCTAAGCTAGGAGGATACTAGCTCCCACTCCAGAGCTCCCACATCCCTTCCCTTAAAGGCTAACTCTCGCTTTAGTTTTTAACCACTAAGATCGAATTGGGGATTTTTAGTCCGTCACCCTAAAAATATCTCCAATTCTACACCCAACAAAGTATATTTTCTTATTTATTTGCACTTAATTCCATTAACGAAACATTCCTTCATGGACTTAAATGTGATTCTCACTTTGTTGTAGAACTCATACTCTATTTCTCGAATCATATATTTCACAACATATTTTAACAATTCAATTGGCTAGATCGAAAACTAAATTAAGAGCGGAGTTGAAAAACCATCACAATTTATTTTAAATTTTAACATTGGCACATCCAAATTGTCTCTTCATTTCACAATATCTCAGAGTAGGGAGAAAGATAAGGAAAACTACTCAGACTTCATGAGAAAGATACAATAAAACAAAATTTTCATATATAAAATAAAGTTTATACACCAATATTAAACAAACAACACTAATCTGAAACTCTTTCTCAAAGTAAATCCCTTGTAGCCTCTCTTAGGAAATGTAGAAAGAAGAAATATCTCACTTCTCTTCCTCTCCAACACTTCTTAGAGAAGAATTCACCCTTAAAGTCACCACAAAAACTCAAAACTATAAAGACAATAACTAACTAATGGTGTGGAATATAGGCGTGTCAAGAGGAAAACTGATATGAGTGGAAGAACTCGAAATGGTGCAAAGGGGAGGGGGGTTCTGATCAAATTTTGGCCCTAAATAGAGCTTAGATTGGTTCTTCAATAGGTGCATCCAAAAACTCTTCAAAAAGCGTCCAAATTCATCGAATCTTCTATAAACAAGTCTGCACCGACACTAGCACCGTTAAAATTCGACGCCAGAGGCCATTCAATTAAATTTGCCTTCTTTATCAAACGGTATCATCAGCGCCCTGTCTGGCACCGTCAGTGCTGAACAATTTTTTAACTTCTACATTTTGACTGCAAATTTCATCCTTTTTGCTTTCTTTTTGCTCCAAGTCCTCAAAATCAACAACTTGTAATAAAACACAAAAAAAACCTTCCATTAAAGTGCAATATCACCAAAAATGAGTATAAAATATGGGTCTAAAAATGTATATATTTTTGGTGTATCAAAATCTCCCATACTTAAATGTAAGTAACTCAATTACTACATAAAACTATGACTTATGGTAAAGATTTTAACTTCTAGATTTTCAGATCTTAGTTAACTAAATATGATAGCATCAATTTAAGAAAAATTTAAAATAACACCAGTTAATACTATAGGTATAAAAATATCTAGCAATCAAGTCTAAGATTTTTGACTCTATATTCTTTTCAAGAAAAATTGTAAATTATTCATATTAAAGCCACATAGAATATCCATATGAAAAAAAACTTCATGAAACTTTACTAGTAAATATGCTAATACTGAAATATAGGTTTAGAATATATAGCCAAGCCTTTTTCTTTAAGTTGATTCAAGTGAAGCCAATTTTTAATTAAGCATCTCCTCAAGTATCTCCTCACATCTTTTCTCTTTTCTTTTCTTTTTCTTTTTTTCTTTTCAGGATAATTTTCAATCCTTTTTCTAATTTTCAATCCTTTTTCTTTCAATCCTTTTTCTTTTCTTTTCTTTTTTTATGTGATGATTACTATATCTGCATAGTCTTTAATGATTTTGAACTTCACTATCCTCTTTTTAAAGTTTATAACTTTTCACATTCCTTCACTTTATAATTTTATTTTAGCTTTAAAGATTTTTCATAAAGTTTTAATCTTTTCTTATTACATGAATCTCTAAGATTTTTAATACTTCAAAAATACAAATTCTTTCACTTAAAATAGAAAAACATAGTCTTATTATATCATACAAAATAATCTTAATCTCTAAAATTAACCTTTATTATTTAAAATTTTTACTTAAGTTTACTATATATTTAGAAACATAAGTATAGTTATATATAGTTACCCTCTATTACCAAAAGTCATGTTAAAATTTTAAAATATTTTGAAAATATAACTAATTAAGGAAAAATAAAATTAAGTCTCTTTTCTTTTTAAAAAGGAATTTTTCCCCCTAAACATAAATTTTTAAAAGATTTTGCATGAAAAACTGAAAAATAAAGGGTGAAAGAAAACTTTAATACATAAAGAAAAGACATATCTATTGAAGGTTCTGATTTGAAATTTAACTATGAAATATTGCAGGTGCTAATAAGAAAAGCTACAAGACTTAAAGCATTAAATAACAGATAATACATATAAGAATTTATTGAGAAAGAGTTAACTACAAATACATCCAACAAAGTATTAAAAACAAATAACTTTCAGTAGTTTCACAAATCTAAAGTTCACAACACAACATACAACAAAATAGTGTACCAAAGTCCACAAATAAATAGTCTTAACAATAAAGTACAATTAAACATAAAAATAAACAAAAATCTAACACACATA